TAGACCCATGCGGCAAGTTTGCTCATGTTATTTCATATTCTCTAATGTTAGCTCAGTCTAGAATTATGGAGAAATAAGGAGCCTCAAGATAGAGTATGTAGTCTGATTTTCTCACTTTCTAAGGAAAGAAATTAAGGTTTCCAAGAAAATCCCAGAACTTTTTTTTCCCAGTTGAGAGTGATAGAGTTGGAAATAGAATTCTGGTTTCCAGACAGCTAGCATGCTGTTCTTTCTATATAAAACAAAAACAAAACAAAACAAAAAAAAACACAAAAAAGTCATGGAAACAGGGAGAAAAAAAGTAAATCTTGAAGGAAATACCATATTTTAGAAAACAGTATACACACAAGTTTCACAGGCAAAAATCAAATGGGAAAAGAGCACCAATGCTCGATAGAGCATTAAGAAGAATAACTACTGAGTGTGTTTGTAACTTTTGAGTGGCATTCCATCTTCCAGATTTCTCAGCCTTTTCTTCTTTTCTTTTCTGTTCTTCCCTTTCCTTTCTACCACCACCATCATCATCATCATTGTCATCGTTGTTATTGTGGTGCTAGGGGTTGAACCCAGGGCCTTGACTTTCACATGTTATTGAGCCATGCCCCAGCCCTTTGTGTGTGAATGAGTGTGCACACACGTGAGCACCAGTGCTACTTGAGTGCTCTACTACCTGTGCCTCTTCCCCAGCTCTTTTTGCTTTACGTTTTTCTTTGCCTAGGGCTGACTTTCGACTACCATCCTTCTACCTACTGTCTTCCTAGGATAAGTGTGCAGTCTTACCATGCTCATCTTGATAGTTGAGCATGAATCTCATTAAGTTTTTGTTCAGGCTGGCCTTGAACCATGCTCTTCCGGATTACTGCCTCCCGAGTAACTGGGATTATAGTCATCCAGTGCCAGACCTAGCTCTCAGTGAAATTTTTGAGGATTAGAAAAATATCATAGAACTACAATCAAATCAACATCATGCTGATCCAACTCAAGAGTTGAGATCATCATCACAATGTTTGTTGAATGAATAATGAATACTCTCAATGCCTGGGTCCTATACCATACTGAAACCACAGGAGAGTAAAGAGAGCCACGCTTTGTTCAAGGAGGGGAAGTTGAATTCTACTCCTGCCCCAGACTACAAACTACAAAACCATAGTTCATGTCCCCACCCCTCTGTTTTTTGTTTTGTGGTGCTGAAGGTCAAACTCCAGGCTTTGTACAGCTAGTCAAGTGCTCTACCACAGAGCTACATCCCCACCCACCATCAGTTCCTTCTAGAATCCTCCAAGATCACCAAACCAAGGCACCAAGGCATCACATTACAGACAGCATACTGGAAGTGTTAGGAGAACATTATCACATTAGTAACAACATTACAATAGCAGTAACATTAATAAGAAAGTTCACCTACAATTTGTTCCAAGAGGTATGATGATCAGATTGGATTAAACAGGATCCAAGAGAATAAACATCTCAAAAATGATATAAACCTACTCACACCTGAAGCAGATTTGTTAAATAATCACTTTGTCGTCTGAAATGGTGACATTTCAACACTCCTATAAAACAGTCAGGATGTGGAAAAGGACTCCCAAACAGACCGGAAACAGGATGCGTGCACAGAGAGCAGACTTCCAATGTTCAAATCACCTTAAACTTCTTTCAACCTAGAATATTTTCCCCCAAACATCAAGAGAATCCTATCTTAGTGGCTTAAAAGAAAGCTCTCTCTCCCTCCCTCCCTCCCTCCCTCCCTCTCCTCCCTCTCTCCCCCCAGGTTTTCACACCTGAACATTTTGAATCAAACAAAGAAATATCTAAAAACATGAAAGCTCAAACTCCCTAATGCCAACCAACTTGAAAGTTGACCATTCCCTCAGCTTCTTTACTCTAGGGTTAAAAAATTCCTTGAGTGAATGAATAGCCCATATGCACTGGGAATTCAGTTATAAATGAATCAAACCAGGATTCAAAAACCCTGAATAATAGTTTTGAAAATTAAGCAAAATTAACTTCTTCTGTGTTTAAGGAGCCCCAAGTAGGGCTTACAACAACCATTTTGGGGATTATTGATTGCAAATATAAGGTTACACTGTATGCTAAATTACTACACTGTGGGCTATTTCAGTGTTTTTTGGAAACAAAAAATAAGTTCTTATTAAAATTTTTCTCGATTCTTTTATGTTGAAATTATTTCTATAGTAGTTAAATAATTAAATATGATTTTAATAATTAAAAAAATTTATTTAGCTGGGCACACAGATGGCTCACAGTTGTAATCCTAGCTTCTCAGGAGAGTAATATCTGGAGGCTGGTGGTTCAAGACTCCAATTCCGAAATAATTGGCAAAGGCCAGAATGGAGATGTTGCTCAAGCGGCAGAGTGCCAGTCTTGAATTTAAACCTTAATAATGGAAACTATTGTTTTATGTCACCAACTCTTAAACAAATACTTTAAGTGAAAGTCAAATTCTCTTTACATTTTGAGTCTAATGAATGAATTCCATAATAACAAATTTGCATTCGTTGGCTTCTTGTCTGCATGCTGTTGAAGCAGCACAGAACTGAAACAATATTTATTTACTTCAAGCCCCAAATGTGCACACTATTAATTCATTAAGGGTATATCAAGAATGCAAAAGTCAGAGATTCGGATGGTTATGCACACCTGTTATCATAATACTTTGAATGTTGAGGCAGGAGATGCAGGAATTCAAGGCCAGCTTGGACTATTGGTGAGTTCAAGCCAGCATGGGCTACAAAGTGAGATTAGAACTCAAAGAAAAAAAAACCCAAAAGAATACAACAACAAAAAAACCCCCAAAAGTATGTAAACATAACCTAGTAAGTGTTGATTTCTGCTACAGATAGGTTTCTTTGAATTTTCCCTTATCTCGATTTATAGGAGAAGGAAACATTGTTGAAAGTGGCACAAACGCCTCCCACCTTAAGTGACCATATCCTTGGTCATGTGAACTGGGCCACCTTTGATTGTGGAAGTGGCCTGAATATAATTAGGTCAGGACCACAGAGCAAGAGTTGTATTTGGTAAACCTGGATGGCTGGTCACCTTCCTCCTTGAGTTCAAGAGAGACCACACATTTGCATGCTTCCCCCCAGTCTCTTCTTGCCCACTCTTTTAAAAATTGGTTTGTAACAGTTACTCAGTTGGAGTGGAGGATTTCATTGGCATGCCAATCTCTGCCACCCTCTCCCCCATGCTCTCTGCAGCTTTCCCTCTAAGAAACGGCATCCCTAACAGGTTTCCTTGTTCTGTTTCTCATCGTTGCAAATAACTGATTACAACACCGTCCAATCATCTTCTTTATCTTCCTCTCAGGCACACTCCCACCTGCCCGCAGAGTCTATTTCTCTACTGATAGCACCTTTCGTGGCGATGCTGCTCTCATACATACTTTGTATGTACATGCAATATGTTATGCAGTTATTTACCCTCTTTCTTTTTCCATTTCCCCCCTCTACCTCTTCTGAATAGGCTCTTGGCTTGATTCATGTTCTATTTTTAAACATCTAAGTAATTATGTATATGTATATATACACACACTTATATACATGTCCCTGTTTCTAATTATATGCATATATTTATATATTACATATATACAAGTATATATGTAGAAATACATCATATGCACATGTCCAAGGGTATGTATGTTTTTTAGGTCTAGCTTCCACATAAAATGAAAGCATACAACTTTATTTTTTGAGCTTGGCTTGCCTCGCTCCTGAGGCCCTCTTGAAACATGGCAAGTACTCATCTCTCCCTGAATTAACTAGCAGTGTTTTTTTTGTTTGTTTGTTTTTTGTTTCAGGTCCGGTCGTGGGGCCTGAACTCTGGGCCTGGGCGCTGTCTCTCAGCTCTTCAGCTCAAGGCTAGCGCTCTACCGCTTGAGCCACAGCCCCACTTCCGGCTTTTTTTCTTTTTGCTTATGTGGTGCTGAGGAATTGAACCCAGGGCCTCAGGCATGCAAGGCAAGCGCTCTACCACTGAGCTACCTTGCCAGCCCCATAGCAGTGTTAAATATTGTCCAAGTACTGTTACTGATGAGCATTTGTTGTAGGTGCCCCATGTGAAGCCTTCTTTTTTTTTTTCTCCTTTAAATGTGCTCAAATGTTGGGGGTTAGGGAACCTTAACTCTCTCACTGATATCTGTTAGACGCTTCTCTGGGGGCCCCAGTTGCCTTCAACCAATTAGGCATGTGAACAGCATTCATGCCAACACCCAAGAAACAGGACCCCAGAAAGTGGGTTCTGGTGGACTTTGGCCTGGCAGAAGACCTAGCAATGGTGCAAACTCAAAATCCCTTCATTTGCGTAACACCTGTCCCATGACTGGTGCAAACATGAGGGGGCTGCTGTGATTGGTATAGACATCCTGGTCTCCTCCCACTTCTGGGTATATAAGCAGGCTCTTCAACTCCCATTGAAGAGCAGCTGGGAGACAACCTCCCTATTGACCCTGGTGTTCATAATATCAGATTCCAATACAGACTGTCTCTGGAGTAGTCTTTCCCATCTCTGCTGGGAGGCAAGGAAGAGAAGCAGCAGCCCCTTGAAGCAGTGAGATCAGAAAGATGAGCATCAGGGGCAGGCAGTGACTGGTAGCAGAGAGTATGAGTGAGCAATGGAGAAAGTAAAACTTCAGCTGAGATCTGAGTCCTGTGCTGTTGGAGGGTGTGTGTGGGGGAATGGAGACCCAGGCTTGTATACCGAGGCCTGAACCTCAGTTGTTAAAAACCCAGGGCTGGTACGCACTGCCACCCACTCCGATGTCTGCGAATAACCCACAAGGGCCTGAGAGAACTGGAGGAAATTCCCCACCCCTCCCCACAATTTCTATCTGGGTAGAGGAAAACAACAGAGGCCAGCTAGGTTGTAACACTTGAGAGGCTCTGGCTGGCCTAGTGGGAAGGGCGTGTTGGATCCACATCCAGGCACCCCGTGTGCTGCGGGCTCCCCGCTCCCCCAGCAGCATGCCCATCACTTACCCCACGACCATGTCCTTTGGGCCTGCCGTCACCGTGCAGATGCCGTCTTCGCAGTGCTTTCCCACCAGGCTGTGCGCATGCAGGTGGATATTTTTCCCATTTGTGACCAGCTGAACAATCACCTTGGCAGGTCCCACGTAGTTGCAAATCTACAGGAGAAGCACATTGTAAACATCAGCCTATCTGACTGTAACCTAGAAAAATGTCTCTGGTGACTCAGTAAGTATACACAATGGGACACACACTTGTACACACCCGTACGTCTATCACCACAGATTTATTTTTTTTAAATGTCCAATGAACAAAAGACAGGATGGAAATACAATGGTGGCTATATTATATAGTGAGAAAATGGATTCCAGGGGGCCATTAAAAGTATAGGATATATCAGGTGTTGGTGGCTCATGCTTGTAATGTTAGCTACTCAGGAGGCTGAGATCTGAGGATCTCTGTATGAAGCAAGCATGGGCAGGAAAGTTCAGGAGACTCTCATCTCTAGAAATGGAGGCGTGGCTGTGGTCCCAGTGGCTGAGAGCCAGCCTGGAATGAAAAAACAAACGTGTGTGTGTGTGTGTGTGTGTGTGTGTGTGTGAATAATGAGCCCAGTGAATCTTTGTTCTGTATAAATGATTCAGTCTGTAATACTCAGCTAATAACAACAGAAAGCAAAGCCACCAGTGGAACTGGTCTCCAATTTTGGTGGAACAAATTAATTAAAAAGTACTTTGTATAAAACTTGATTTTGATCACCTCAAAGTATAAATCAATTTCTTAGGCATACGAACTGAGCATATTCCATTTATTTATTTATTTATTCTCTTGTACTGAGACTTGAACTCACAGCCTCAGTGTTGTTCCTTAGTTCTTTTACTCAAGGTTAAGCCACACTTCTACTTTGGGCCTTTTTTTTTTTTTCTCGTGGTTCATTGGAGATCAGAGTCTCGAAGACTTTCCTGCCCAGGCTGGCTTCAAATTGAGATCCTCAGATCTCAGCCTCAGAGGTCCTCAGATTTCTGCAGGATGGGGAATAAGAAGTTTTGGTTCTGTCCCATGGTTGACTGCTGTCTCTACGTATTCTCTGGAAGGCTGATGCCAGTTCTGGGGCCCTTAACAAACAGCTAGAGAGCACTAACTAAACCAATTGATCACACTTTGAAGTGGCAGTCAGCCCAGGAAGGCCACAGTGGATGCTTGGTGCCATCAGGCAAGTCTTTTTAGTTCTGTTGGACAGCAAGAGTTCCTTGAGAAAACCCAATCGCTTTGTCTAATTAGGCCCCACAGCGCTGCCACTGAGAGAGGGTAGTCATTGGCATGGAAGGAAAGAGGCGGGAGGTGTGCTCAGAAAGCCCTTGAATGTTTTCTCTTCTGCCTTCAAGACGGATGGGGTGGCAAGAAAGAGGAACTGGGGTTTCTCTGAGGTGAAGGACCTGAAAGATTCGCCAGTGACTAATGTGTTGTTTGATCCGTGTGAATAGAGTCCAAGTCACCACGGCATCATTCGGTTTTTACACAGACCACAGAACAGGCGCAGGCAGGTCCCTGGGTCTGTGGACTTTCCAGAGTACTGATTGGAAGGAGAAGGCTGTGTGGAGAAAGCAAAGCAAAGCTCCAGGCAAGGTGCATGGCACATGCGGACTTTGGCAGGCTAGAGGAGAGTGCCTCTCCCTCAGGGCCCCTGACTGACAGTTCCCTGCAGCCGATTCAGATTTGTTCTATGGAGAGAGGGGATTCTTTTTACTCAGCCTCTCCTTCGCTTCACTGAACAGCGATTTCCTTGCAAATGAAGCGTAGGAAGAGCAACTTCCTCTGTTATGAAGGTTTTTTTGAAAGAGTCTGAACAGAGCACTCTTAAGCACGACTAGCTTAAAACTCAGGCTCAGCTTTCAGCCACAGCCAAGGTTAGACAAAGACACAAAATTGTGTAAACTATCAAGGGAGTGGTAGGGGTCAGTGGCTGGCCAGGTGTAAAGACAGTTCCGCCATTTACTGGCTGAGTGACACTCAGTTTCTTCATCTGTAAAATGGGGTGGATGATAGTTCAAAGCTTCATGAAGGCACATAAAGTCTTGTTTGTTTGTTTTCTTTTTCCTTTTGATGGCACTGGTGGTTGAACTCAGACTGGATGCTTGCTAGACAGGCAATTAGCTACATTATTTTTCAGACATTTATTATTTTTCCTCCTAACTATAGATAGCCTTTGGAGTAGCTGGGATTGAAGATGAGCCACTAGGCTCAGCCTAGTTGTTGAGATAGAGACTTGTTAACTTTTTGCCAGTGCCGATCTCAAACTGTAATCCTTCCAATTTCTGCCTCTCAAGTAGCTGGGATTCTAGGTATGAGCTAGTATGTTTGGCAAACAGCAGCTGTATGCTATTATTTAAACCATCATCTTGTTTATCATTGCCCTGTACATTTCTAACCGGACATGATGTTTTAAAGAACATCCCTTTCCCGCTTCTTAAAGCCAGGCATGGTACCTCATGCTTGTAATCCAGCATATAGAAAGGAGGCAAAGGTAGGAGGATCCAGAGTTCAAGACTAATTGGGTTAAACAGTGAGCTCTTTCTTCAAAACAAACCGACAAAAAATCTGAAGCCAAACATCATTACCACCACCAACACAATCATTTTGCTTAGAGCAGGTGGTGGAAGAAATGGTCAATTCCAGCCACTTCTATTCTGAGGAAAAGTTTTATTTTCAGAGTGCCATATGTGACCAGGTTTTGTTATTTTTCTAGTAATAATTATGTTCTCATGGCAACAACTCATTCTTGGAAGTACTCAGGCTTTCTTGGCTTCCCTGATTAAATTTAAGACTTAATGATAGCATGGCATCATGACTTATACCTATAATTCCAACTACTTGGGAGGCAACTGGGAGATTGTAGTTCAAGGTCAGCCCAGGCCAAAAAAACCCCCACATTTTTTGAGATTTCTTCCTCTCAACAAACAAGACTGACATAGTGCTTCACACTTGTAATCCCAGTTATGAGAGAGCCATAAGTAAAAGAATCATGTTCAGATAAGTAAAAGAATCATGCTAAAGTAAAAATAAGATGGAGGTATGACTCAAGTAGTAGAACACCTGCTTACTAAGTACGAGCCCTGCGTTTGGACCCTACTACCAGCAAAAATAGTCATAAGGAAAAAAAAAGACTTTCTTCCAGAAGCCTTGTGAATCAGCACCTGCTTGATGACCATAGGCCAGATCTGCTTTGTGAGTAAGATTTAGAAAGGAAGGGGATCCAGGTAATCGTGGTCTCAGTCAGATCACCTACTTTTACTGAACTGTCATGCTGCAGAAAAGTACATGCTATTTCTCAGAGGTTAAAGTTAAAAGAAGTCATCTAGAAGTTTCTAAGAATCACAATTTGAAACATCCAGTTTCCTCTTCAGGTAAATTTGGCCAAATCACTCTGACAGAAAGTAGAAGCAATGTGAGTATAAGATGTGATATACAAAATTGTTCATTTCTGCTTGCATTTTCCCCAGTAACAATGATGATGATGATGATGATGATGATGATGAAGATGATGATGATGATGATGATAAAGAAGAGGAGAAAGGGAAAAATATCCATAATTTCCCAACTTAAAACCAGTCTGTCCTGACTTGGTTCTCTACCCCAGAGCAGTAGAATGAGGCAGCTTGAGAGCTCCTGGAACCATGCTGCTAGGCTCCAATTTCCTGGTTGTTATTTAATTCACCATGGCAACCAGGAATGATGGCTGATACCATCTTTCAATTTCCCCATCTATAAAACACTGGGTGCTGGTGGCTCATGCCTGTAATCCAAGCTACTCAGGAGACTGAGATCTGAGGATTGTGGTTCAAAGCCAACCCAGGCAGGGAAATCTGTGAGACTCTTATCCAAAATGCTGGAAATGGAGCTGTGGCTCAAGTGGCATGGAACGAGCACCCCAGGCCCTGAGTTCAAGCCCCAGCACTAAAACAAACAAAAACTATGCCAACTGAACAAAAAAATTTGCACAGGATAGCTTTTAGACTCCAAAGACTCCAATGTCTGGCTCTGAGTGAGATTAGCAATCTGAACTAGAACGCCTCTCTTCTGTCTGGTCCATTACTTCATGGACAACCAATATCCATCCATTTATTTGTTGTATATTTGGTGTAGACTCCTGTAACCACCCCCACACTGAAGAAAGTAACAGTGAAGGGAAAGGGCATGATTCCTCTTGTTAGGGGAAGTGGAATTTGGGGACCAGAACTATCAAATAATCTCACAGACACACAGAAGTATATGTAACTCTTACTATGTGATAGGATCTTGGGCTGGACAGAAAGTGAAAACAAGCTCTCTTCCAGAGGAGAATGAAGCTGACCAATAGGATCGTTCCAAGAAGAGGTAGCAGGTAGGGGGTGAGGCAGTTAGGCCTGTGCTGGCAGGAAGAGCAGTGTGCTCCAGGACTGGAAGGTGACAGTTCTCCTTGGAGTGTCCCAGGCTAGCTCACTACCACCTTCAAGTGGTGCTAGCACTAGCCAGGTGTCCCCAGCCTGGGCAGGAAAGTCTGTGGGACTCTTATCTCCAATAAACCACCAGAAAAACTGTTGCTATGGCTTAAGTGGTAGAGTGGCTAGCCTTGAGCTGAAGAGCTGAGGGACAGCACCCAGGCCCAGAGTTCAGGCTCCATGACTGACTCCCCCCCCAAAAAAAATAATAGAAGTGCTCTTATCCCTTTGCAAATGGCCTTCATAAAAAAAATCATGCTATGATATGATTAAACCATGCATTCATGCTTAGTTTTCAAGTCAGATTAAAAGGAGAAATGCAAAAAAATAAAGAGAAGAATCTTTCTTTAATAATATAGCGTCTCTCAAGGATGAAAGTTAAGTCAGGTTTAGTTGCTATCTATGATTTATTATCTGAGTGATCAGGAAATAGAGTTTAACCTTTCCTAAAGGAGATAGTACACGTTGACATGAGAAGACACTCAGTGTGGTCCGTGTCTTCCTTCTGGGGATTTCAAGTTGATCTAATCTGGGATCTAATCCTAGCATAGATCCACTCCAGCTCTGTGGCCTTAGACAAGTTGGGTGACGTCTCTGAGCCTCAACTTCCATGCTTACAAAATGGGCCACGATTGTAACAGCACAGGGCTATTGTGAGATGGTACAGTGTCTGCTATATG